TAAATTAAATATTTTGCTTATATAAATAATAAATGTAATACATGTGTGTGTATATATATAGATATAAAAATGTTTAGAGGAGAATCTCATGTACTTCTGATGAAATTAAAAGTATATAGTAATAATAATTGTATATATTATACATAATATATTAATATAATTATTATTAATTTCTATTTTAATTTATTATAGTCATTGTTTAATTACACCTATGGGTTGTACTTAATATCTTAATATAATATATTGTAATATATTTTGAGCTTTTGATCAGTATTAGGATCATATCAGCTCCTGATAGGTGAATTATTTTGAGTGCACTATGATTTTAGATGCACTAATCCCCATCACACTATTTAGAACAGACAGTGTGTGGACTGGGTTTGAGCCAGGCTGATAACTCTGATCTGTTTCTCTGTAGGTTATGGGACTCATAAGCCCAGCTGGAGTTTCTCATCAGACTCAGGCTGAGTTTTCTCTGTCTCTCAGCGGTGCTCTGGATTCGGGTGGATCGGTCAGCAGCAGCTGCTCTCAGCGCATGGAACCCTTATCCAGTCTACCTGCCCTGTCCAACCTGCCCAGCCCACAGTCCTACAGCTCGGCCTCCTTCTACAGCATGGAGCACAGCGCCCCCTACCAGTACAGCCAGTACGGACAAAGTAAGGTCATTATACTGTCAAGACTACTCCATCCTTCTTATTTGCTTCACTTGCTACTAGTTTGTGTCATTGGCTGATTGTATACTGTACCTCTCTTTACCATGTATCATTTTCTGTTCACTCTTTACCCCTTTTTCTCAAAAAACATTGTCAAAAATACATTTTAATACGTTTTTAAAAAATTGCTGACACCAGCAATCACAAACCATAAATTATTATTGCTTATCGGCAGTTCTTAAAAACAGCTTTAACCATAATTGTTAAATTTTGTACATATTGTACCAAATTAACACACACACATACACACAATATACAATATAATAATATTATGTAATAACGTTATATGTAAATATATAAATAAAAAAATATTTTACTATATTACAAAAATTGTTATTTTGCTTACCAGAAGATCTTAAAAACGGCTTTGACCACCATTATTAAAATTTGTGCATACTACCAAATTTATTAATATGTATATATACACATTTGTATATAGTTACATATTTATGTATTTTAATACATTTACTCTCATACAATTTATACTGTATATATATTTATATATTTATTATAATAATAATCATACATTAACAACCTCAAAATACGTCTTTAAATATAGCATTAAATTAAATAGCATTTATAATAAAAAAAATGTCTGTCAGGAAATGCAACAATGGTTTACTCTCTGATCGCTAATACTTCATTAGTCAAAAAAAGCAAGCAGGTTATATATTTTGTATCTGTATTTGCTATTTACATCTGTAAGACACAAACAAAAATGTTGCTACATTTATTGCTGTTATGTCAATCTTAACAATTCTGATAGTGACTTCTGGCATCTATACACCAACAAAATGTCAATTTAGGTGATTGTCATTCATTTGTTGGTGACCTAAACAAATAATAAAAGGGTAAAAGGCTTCACACACACATCAGAGGCTGGTATATAGTTGTATGTTATTTGCAGAGGTCTGATCCTGTAATCTGGAGTGTGTGTGTGTGTGTGTGTGAAGGTCATGGTTGGATGCTAATCTCCTGTGGCAGGATCATGATGAGAAGCAGCTGCGCTTGTCTAACTCACTATCCACGCTCGTACAGTTCCGCTCGGATGAAATGGACTCCGCACAAATAAGGCAGCTCTTTAATGAGTCCTTCTTAAAGAGGAGGCTCAGCGTTTGCCAGCCTGATTGCTATGGACGGCACACGCTTTCAAGTCATGCAAACATTAGCAGAACAAATATTACTATTAAGATGCATATTAAATGTGAAAATCATTTAACATTATTAATAAATTATGCTCTTTACATTTTCATGTCTTCCAGATTCCTTTCATTATCTGAGGCCTGAAATCGCCTGAGAGGGTCGTGTGGCTCAGCTGTCCCGAAGGCATAAAGTCCCAAAGTCCTGGAATGAAGGTTTTCTGCAGACGGAGATACAAAACTCTTGGCAATAAAAATACAACTTCTTCACCACTGGATGGCACAGCCGGCAGATCAAAAGATCTCAAACATTCCCTTGAACTCTTCTTCAAAAGCCCTTCCAGCAGAATTATCCACAATCCCAGAAAACACAACAAGACAAGCTGAATCAAAACAAAAAGGAGACGTTTTTTCACTGAGAAACATGTTGAAGTGCAATATGAGAAATGGCCATATTCATACGAGACATTCGCAGCCACTCAGAGCCGCTCTTATGAGGCCAGACGAAAGCGCTGGGCTGGATACGTCTGTCAAACGATTAATCACGATTAATCGCATCCAAAATAAGTTTTTGTTTACATAATATATGTATGTGTAATGTGTATATTTATTATGTGTATATAAATACACACATACAGTAAATATCTAGAAAATATTTACATGTATTTACATGCATCCACAATCCCAGAAAACACAACAAGACAAGCTGAATCAAAACAAAAAGGAGACGTTTTTTCACTGAGAAACATGTTGAAGTGCAATATGAGAAATGGCCATATTCATACGAGACATTCGCAGCCACTCAGAGCCGCTCTTATGAGGCCAGACGAAAGCGCTGGGCTGGATACGTGTTGGAAATAAAAGACAAATGTTTTATAGCAGACAGTGAACTTCTTCTCATGCATTCCTTGACATTTGAATGATGCTTTAGTTTTTTTACATGAGGGACGACTGTAAAATTATACAGTATTCTGGAACTTGGGAGTTCAAAATCATACTTGTTTGAAGTAATTCCTATAGCGGTGCTGTAGTGTTAAAAGGTGCACTGTGAAAATTACTTATTATTTTTAGCAACTATATTTACTGATTTGATATGATCTGATATGCTTAAAACTGCAATATACATTTGGTCGTCCCCAATAATACTTACAACCTTTCTAATGTTGTTTATCTTCTTGCCAAGAGATGGTAAAATACTAAAAGCTCTCAAAAATACTGATAATACAGCCACAACAACTGAATGTTTTTTTATTAATTTATTTTGTATGTGTGTGAGTGTTTATCTGTATCCTCCAGATATTTTGCATAATTAAATCATTCATTGTATGATAATAAACCCTGTTTGTGTGTGTATGTACTTCGCTATATACATTTGGAAACAAAACCTTCATTTGGAAGCTTTTGCAGATGTTGGCAATTGCAACATTTATTCATAAAGCTAATATGGCTTTTTAAAGAAATTGTACATTTTAAAATGTTAATCCTAAATGTTTTCAGGATTTGGGTTTAGGATAAAGTTTAGGAACTGAATTAGTCTGCAGCAGGGTTATTATAGTTAATTAAAACTAATAATAAATCAAGTAATAATAATACACAATAAAAAATTAACAAAAGTTAATTTTAAATTAAAAAATAAATAAAATGGAAATAAATATTTTTTTATTAATTATTAATAATATTTAACTTATTTCATTTCAGCTGGTTGCAAAGGCAGCCTTTTTCATATTCATTTAGTTTAACTTGATACTAAAATGGTACTAACATAACAAAAAAAAAAAGCTGAAATAAAAATTCATTAAAACTATATAGACTTTAAAAAAATGATGATGATGATGAAACAAACACGCAACACTTCACTTAAAATTAAAAAAATACAAAATATTAATCAAATCTATAATAGTATCTCGATACGAAAATATCACTGGTAGTCATTATAATTCATTTGACATAAAAACAGCAGAAGTTAGCATAAGTGTGTGATCTCTCACACATCTGTCTGCAGTCATAGCTTACTCTTCACACTTTCCAGGATGATTCATGTCTCTGTTCTTCCTCAGCCGATCAAACGCTTCACCTGTGGCCTAGAAAACACCGAAAACCTCCTCGAACACCTCAAGAATAACGGACAGGGAGACAGATGCTATTTTATGTCAAACCCTTTCTTTCTTTCGCTCTCTCAGAAGCTTCTTTTGACCCTCTGTCTTCCCTTGTAAATGCCAACCTTCAAACAGCATCCTCTCCTTCACCCTGCTCCGTCATCTGAGGGGTCAAAGTTCAAAGTTCACAGGTCTGGCACATGTTTATCACAGAGAGACAGATGAAAATAAAACTACAGTCTGATCTGTTTTTCATCTGATCCTCAAACATGTGTCTTGACTTGATTACACTCAAGAAACAGAAAAAAAAACAACACTTTTTTTTCAATAATAATGAGCAAGAAAGTCATTTGATATGTTTTACAATTTTTTGTGCATCAGTTTACTGTAAAATTTAAAAAATTACACATTAATATGTTTTTTTTTCATTCAAATAAGCAGCATCACACAGTCAAGAGTCACAGCTGTGATTCTGAGTGAGATATTGTTTTCATATAACAGTAGATATCATGTAGCTTTTGTTGTAAACAAAATATGACCAGGTCGTTGTTAATTTCTTCTCCGCCAACGGAAAATAGATTCAAATCAAATCTCCATTGGCTCTGCAACATTTAGTATAGCTTAAGACTACTTTAAACTGTAGATATATACATATACACCGATCTAAATTTATTATAATCTATTTTATATTCATGCTCAGAACTGCTGTGCATCCTCGGATATCCGCTGATGTATTTCATTCGCAATGCTGCCCTCTACTGGTGCGTAATTACACCTGCAACTCTACCACCAAAACATCATATAAAACATATATAAAGTCCATTTTGAAATTGTATATGTGTGTGCGTGCACATAGTGTGAGCCATTAAATATAACTATAAATATAACTATAAAAAATACAATAATGAATAGTAGTAACAATAGCTTTATTGCACTTCAAAATATTAACAAAATAAAGTGTTATATTTTAAAATTAAAAAAAGAGTATTAAATAAAAATACAGTTGTTTTATAGTACACTTAAAAAAAATACAATGCTAATATTTATGTTTTTTTGTTTTTTTTTGGAATTTTCAACTATTTCAAACCTAAAATCTGCAAACTTCTATTTGAGGCGCTTCATTGAATGCTATAATTTAGTAACTGGTTCTTTCTAAGAACCGAACAAACCACTGATCTATATATAATGTTCTCTATTATAGATCAGTGATACAAACATAAAATGTCAGTTGTTTTATTATTGGATAATTCAGGGATTCTATAGTCTTTTTAAAGAAGAGGGCTGGTGAAGACTAAAATAAATCTCCTTTCTCTTTCACTTTCATCATTCATCACATGGAACAAAAAACAGCATAGACAGTCACAATCAAGACTCATATCATACAAGTAATTTTGGGAGTAGGTTTGTTTCACTTTGAATGGGCTTGTAGGAGTGTTTCTGACGAACTATGCACATTGTATTTACAATTGTATTTTTTCTCTGTGTGTTTTTTGGGATTTTAGAAGTCCACCATGTTTCTAAGCGGACTCCTGCTGCTCTTTCTGCTTCCTGATTGGACAGAAGGCATTGAAGGTGACACTGTGGACATCAGTACTCTCGCGCGTATTATTGATTTCTTCGAGCAAAAGTAAGTCTGTCTCCAGTTTCTATAAAATATTAAAAGCCCAAAGTTATTGTTTACATTAAAAGTTAACAACAAAGTTAAAAGTTAGCAACAAGGAAGTCACAACAGGAAGTAACAGGAAGCTGTCTGTCAAATGGTCATAAATTAAAAACATGGGAGTGTGTCATTAGTCACCTGTAAATTAAAAAGTAATGCATTACTTTACTAGGTACTTGAAAAAAGTAATCTGATTACGTAACTCGCGTTACTCGTAATGCGTTACCCCCAACACTGCCTAAAACAATACTTGATCCTGTTTACTGTTTTCCAGCTATAAAAGAGTTGATAAAGATGGACATCCCCGTCAGTATGCTGTAGCCATCAACGTGCCAAAGCATCAGTGTCAACAGAACTTCAATCCTGCACAGAACAACCTTCTGACTCAGGAGAATGCCATGAATGTGAAAAATGCTATTACCGATGAAACAAACGCACTTTACCAAGGTGCAGAACTCATCGCTGCAGGAACTAGAAAAAAGAAGGGATACAACATGCATTCAGAGTCTCTGCTGCTGAATCCTGCTGACAACTCACCCATGACCAAACTTTTGAATAAAAGAAAAGACGGCTGCTCTATTTTCTTCACATTTGATTCTCCCTGTGTCAATACGTGTCTGGATGAGACAGGCAAACACAGCATTTTAAAGGCCCTGGAGAACTGGAAAGAACACAGTGGAATTAAAGCTTTTGTCTTCAAGAGTTTCTGGAAGTTTGACACTGAAAAAGATCCTCAAACCAAATATAAGCAGATTGTGGCTCATGTTCCTCTCTACCGCTGTGTGAGTGAGACTCAGTGTTATGCTTGTAAAGGGGAAGGAAACACTCCCATCGACGCAAAGTGTCTGCCTCCAAAGAAGATCAAAGATGAATTATAACAGATCTGTGAGTCTTTATTAAGATCTGCTAGATTTTGTTTTTAAATTCAATATGGATAGATGAACTACTAAAAATGCATTTAAAAATGAATCTTGATTCTCACTCAAACAAATAAAATACTTCCACTTGGTAAACATTTGCTTTACATTTACATTTATTCATTCAGCAGATGCTTTTATCCAAACTTACAAAGGAGGATTTTTAAGATCGGAGTAGCTGTGGGCTGCAGTAATGCACATAAACACACCCACAGTTCTCATAAAAATATCAAAGAGCAGGATTTCGGAAAGCATGAGGT